CTGGCGAAGCTAAGTAATTTGAGAAGCCAAGGCTTTGTTTCGTCATATGTTTTCTAAAGGTTTCTACATTTTGGTGGTTCACCAATTGAGGGCGATGATCTTGTGAACCCATGTGAGTACAATGAAAACAGGAGAATTAAGGTTAATTGTCTCTGATTGACCTGATCAGCCAAGCCCTCCCTAAAAGCACAAAACAAGCACTACAAATTATACAGACACTTTATATTCAATTGTATTTGTAGATTTCATAGCTTACACTTTCATGAAAAACAGTTGTAGTTTGTTTTGTAAAAAGGTTCATTATTTTCTGCCCTCGTTGCATTTACACCACAGTGCTTCGAAACAGTGAATCATTTCACAAAGCAACCAGTTCAATTGATTCAGAGTTGATTTACACAGCCGTTCAATAAACAAGAAGTTAATGTTTTAAACACAATATCGCCAGTTACTTGTCTATTTTGCTTTGACAATGAAACTAGTTCCAAACTAAGCCAAAGCAGATTAAACCATTGGGCATCTTCAAGCAAAACACAGCAGCGGCGATCGCGTTTCTGAATGAATCTGTGTTTTTGAATAAATCATTTGAGTAAATGATTCAATGACTCAATCATAAGAAGAGTCGCCACCTACTGGTGTAATAATGCTTTCTGCAGAAAAATTGCCAATGAAAAATCCTACCACAGACTGGCAACCTCAAGCGCATAAAGTTACATTTTAACATATATGTAGTCGCATTACATAGAAGTGCTGGATGGACAATAAAATATTTGGTTAAAAATAAAATAAAAGTCTGTGTATATAATTTGTAAAAAAAAGACATACGTACATAACTTCAGCTCATTTGCACAATTTATGTAAGAATTCATTTTAATGCCCAATTTACAGTCATTCATGAATCATGGTCATTCAATGCAGACATTTGTTAAACATTTCATGCATGAGGACCACTAACGCTCTTCAATCACAAGTGTAATTTATGCAACCACACATGTGCTACACATTTGAGAGTTCTATTTCATAGGAGGTCCATCATTCTCTTATTTTACAGATATTGATGAGTGTTTTCTGCAGCTCTGTCATCCGTTTGCTTCCTGCTTCAACACCCAGGGCTCTTTCCACTGCCAGTGCTGGCCTGAATACAAGGGCGACGGCTTCCTCTGCCAACCACCACGTAAACCACAACATTTATCTAGAAACACACAACGCTTTCTGTCCATCAGCTCAGTAACAGACTGTTCTCTTTGTTTAAAACACAGAAGAAGTCCGGCAATCGAGTCAAATATTATGTTCAGCAGCGTATTATAAATCAGTCAAACACAAATGAGTTGTTTAATAATTCATAAGAAACAAGTAGAACATGTTCCTGAAACAACCACCTTTGTTCCAGGACACATCATGCCATTTAGTGAATACTGATAATGTAATGTATTTAAATGTTCACTGTTCCTCTATATTTTTCAATGCTAGAAAAGCGCAAACCGCCCTTAACTGTGTGCCAACACCACAGAGAAAGTTTGCAGGAGAGTCTAAGCATCTACCCAGGCCTGGAGGCCTTTATTCCTCAGTGTGATGAGAAAGGGCAGTACAAACCCCTGCAGTGCCTGGGCTCCACTGGACACTGCTGGTGTGTGGACAGTAGAGGGCAGGAGAGAGTGGGCACCAGGACAATGCCTGGCACAGTGCATGCCAACTGTGATCAACCAGGTATGGATTTCTGCCCTCACATTTTGCACTTACTGCTTTCTAACTTTTGATTTGGTCAGATAAACGCTTCTTTTGTTTTTGAAAGAAGTCTATTGTGCTTATAACGGCTCCATTTATTAGAGCAAAAATACAGTAAAAGCAGTAATATTGTGAAACATTATTTTAATCTAATAATATTTAAACATGTAAAAAGTTATTTATTCCTGTGATGGCAAAGCTAAATTTTTGAGCAAGCATTTCTTGTAGTCTTTAGCGGGGTTATTAAAGTAAAAAAAAAATATATATATATATACTGTATTTTTTTTCAGCTAGTTTCCAAGACAACATTTCTCATTTTAATTTAGTTTAACTTGATGTATAAAATAACTAAAACTATGAAATATAAATTAATAAAAATATATAGACATACAGTACAACAAAAACCAATAAAATGGCAAAACACAACAAAATTACAAAAAAATTACTAAAACAAAATCAATCTGAAAATATCAAATTAAATCTAATTCAAAATATTAACAAAAACGGTAATAGAATCTCAATGGTACTAAAATAAAACTGGTCTTCAGTGTCACATGATCCTTCAGGAATTATTCTAAGATGCTCATTTGGTGCTCAAGAACATTTCTTATATAATAATAAAGCATCAATTTCTTAAAAAA